CAACACTCGCAGGATTCATGCTTGTCATAAATCGTGCGTTTTCAGATAAAGCCGAAATTTACGCGCGCAGGAAGGAAGGAATACATTTGCGAGCAAAACGACAAAAACATCGCAAACGAAAAACAATGCACGATTTTGGCTCCGAACGTCGCCGGTCGGCTCATTATTGATTATTTTTTTGCATTCACTTATTTTGGCGCAATGCCATTTGGCCGGCCAGGAAGTTTTTTTTTCGCGGATGGCATATGACTCTTTTTCGTAATAAATAACAGGAATAACTCGGAATGGACTGCCAACTGCTGGATTAAAGCTTTAAAAAATGAATTGAGTTATTTTGTAGAAACTTGATTAATTCTACTTGTAAACATACTCATAAAATATTATAGTTAAAGTGAAATTTACATGTCATATAGTGTTTAATTGCATAAAATAAAATAAAATAAAAGCTACACTAAAATTTTGTTAAATTTTGTGACATTTTAGTAAATTTCAAATCATTTACTTGTAACACTTTGTTTTTCAGTCAAATTCACTTTATATATATACATAATTATATGTTAATTTAAATTCAAATTCAAATATTATAGAGAAACATGTGTTTAACACAAATATTTGTTGTTTAATTACTCATTACTAACTCAATGTTGTATTGTTACTTGACACTACAAACAGAATAATGGTTTTAGTTTATTTTCGACGATTAAATCATCAAACAAATACTATAAAATCTGAAATTTTAAAATGAAGATTAATCAATAATTTCAACATTAATCTGTCTAGAAATCACATTGATAAGATTATTTAATAAAAAGTTATTAACAATTAAATTTTTCACAAAAAATGTAAAATTGATTCAAAATTCAATACTGAATCAATTTTTGAGAAAATAGTTTTAAAATTAATATTTTTCTTTTAATTAATTAATAACAAATACAATGATACTATTTGCTCGCGGCACGTAATCCCACCACGCCTATTATATACCTATCTATTATATATAATGAGTGTGATTCTATGAATGCAATTTGTCTGAGTGCGATATTTATTCATTTGGAAAGTGCATATCTACAATATTTATGTTGTGGTGTTGTGCGTCTGCGTTTAATTAATATGCCTATTGTTTCCATCCATTATATTGCGTTTTAATTAATTTGTTTGTGCGACATGATGGAAATTTAGGCGTGATTTTCACTCTGCGGATGACAATATTCGTGTGCGTGCGCTTTTAGCGATCAGAAACGAAATAAAAATTAACTCACCTATTTTTCACCCCGGACGCGCCCCCGCGGCGAGAATTAAAATGTTCATTGATTGCATTGCACACACATTGAACTCTGACACCAATGCAGCACACGTGCGTAGGCTGCAGATTAACCCACGCGATTGCACAATGAAATATTTATCCTTTGGCTTTGTTGCAACGAATCGAAAAATGTTATGATAGCGTCTGGTTGTTTATCAGGGATGCATTTATGAAATTAATTCGTTTGATGGCCATTGCGAATCAAATTATCCCTTCGCACACGCAACGTCTTAATTAACCCGCTCGTGCGGCCTTCGGTGAATAACAAATTTCGTAATTAATATCAACGTTATCTACGTTTACGAATGTTGTGTCCGATGACCGTAATACTGGTATTAACACACTTTTTTTTATGGCAAACAATTTGTCGCGTTTTCTCACTTCAGTCTCTTTAATCGAGAAAACGCGCTGACAAGTGTATTTTGTGCATGCCGGTGAGGCGACACGCTATTGCCATTCTACTTCACACCTTCCGCTCCTCACACTCAATGTCACCACCCGCGCAACCCGCGACGCCGACACGCAAATGATGTGCTGCGCGCTCGCAGAGAAGATGGAACATTGCGCTTTGTTACACGGAATCCTTTGTGACGGCTTCTCGGCAATATTTGCGAAAATTAATCGCAAAAACGGCTAGTTTCGAAGCTAAGGGTGGCGTGTGTGATGGCGCTTGTGTGCTCGGATGATTTATTAGCAGAACAAAAGAAGATTTCCGCTTCAACAACTCACACAGCGCTCACGGCAACACTCTCAATATTCATTTTCATGTTTTAGATGTGTTAAACGCAAAAGTTTGGTTAGAGTACATTAACGCTCTCTAGCGTCAAAGAAAATAAACACTCTGCGATTTTTTGAGGTTAAATCTTGTGGGTACAAGTAATTCCAGGAATTAATTTCTTGAAACTTCTACTCCTAATGGTTATCTTGCGGTTTAGTGATGTAATAGAATTTCATGTTGAATATTTTATGAATTGCGACATTTTTACTAAAAGCTTATAAATTGTGCCTTAAAAACAAATAGCATTTCGCTCTCGACCTGACTGCGAGGCTGGCCGGCGTGTGGATAAATTTGTTTGTTTGCCTTCCACGAAGCCTTCCTGCATGCCTCTCTGTCTTGAATGCGGCGGTGGCGTCGGCGGCGAAAGGACGGCCGGGACGGCAGGCTTCAAATTAAATCAACTTCGTGCCGCGTTTCCAATCCGTAAGATCACTCTCGACGACGCTGGTGGCGGCGCGGGCAAATCCAATTGCAAATTATTTTATATGTACATTAAAACGAAGGGTGCTCCGATAAATTCGGGTCGTCCAAAAACGACAAAAAGTAGACAGGGAAAAACTGAAGCTGAAACGAATCGGTATAATGAGCTGGACTCTTCACTCTAAGAAATAAAAAAAAACTGAAATTTATTGTGCGCTTTTCGGAGCGGTGCTTCGGGCAGGTCTCAACTCAGACTCACTTCAACTACGTATTATTAATGTTCAAGTGGTGCACAAGAAGATAAGTGGTTATTAAAATATTATAATCTAAATATTAAAAAATCGTTTGTATTTTTTCTTATTTATATTTAATTTAATTTGTGGTCTACACAGATTATAATATAAAAATATATTTTTGTATTGTTTAGTTTATTCATGAAAAACGCAACAAGCTGCAAGCACAAGTTTTACATATTTTAAGCTCATGTATAATTCATAATGTAATTACATCTTTCTTGCGTTTGTAATATTTTGCAAACTCATTTTCTACAAATATATTTTATTCATTTTTAAATGTACTAATTAATCGCTGATAGTGTCGAGTGAAAATCATTAATTTTGCTTGTCTGGTTTGTAGGGAATTAATTAAAGCTTAATCAGAATAATCTATACTATGAATGAAGTGAGTTGGTAATTAATTATTACAAAAACTCAATAAAAAAGTAAATTCTGATTTAATTTGATAAGTAATTTCTGTTTTATTATTTTTATTAAAATTTAACATTTATCAAATTTACTTTCTTTTGTCTGTAACTCTTTATATAATGTTTTATTCTGTTCAATATTTGCACAATTAAATGACAAATTAAATACGGAATAATTTTATGTCCGAATAATTGCTGTAGCTCTTTTGGTTCTCGAGTAATTAATTAAAAACCCTTAAAAATTGCTTCTCAAAAATTTTCCCAAAAATTAAATTTTTAACCAGTATTTTATGAGTAAATGATTTTTAAGTGTAGTTTTTAATGGCATGGTAAACAATTCACTTGCAATTTTATCACTTTTCTCCGCAGCAGGTAATTTAAACAGTTGCTCAACAAAAAAAGTACCCGTGTGAATTTACCCTGTGCGGCTTTATAACTACCGAATTCATCTCTTCTTTTATCAACTTTCAACTTCCAACTAACTGCCAAGTTGAAGCGTGTTTTTATCCCGCGGCGGCGATTATGGTGCATTTTGGTGGGTGCTTTTGTTAATCCCTAATTCTTTGTCTACTTTTGCGCCCATAACTCATACGGTTCATACACATCCTCGTCTTTTGTCGAGATAAAGAAATAAATAAAAGTTTCTTCTTGGCGTGGCGTTTTACATAAAGCACCTACGAACCTGCGAATTTGTGCGGGTAGCAAAATGAATAAAACATTAATTTCGTCGACGACTCAAAGGCGGCGTCGGCCTTGCGTTGCCGCGACGCTTTACGCTCATTTCACACGACCAGGCCTCTGAGTCTCTGCCTCGGAGAGAGAAGGCGCAAGGATGAAAAGGTCCTGTCTTGGGAGTTGTGCGCGCGTCTTGCATCTCGTCACCGAAAAATTGCGTCGTCAAAACGAAACATGCTTTAATATCTAATCATCAATCGTGCCGAAATAAATGCACGCCGTGATTTCGTTCAGTTATCAGCGCAATATTTTATCAACGCGCAAAAATTCTATATCATATCAGAGCTCATTATGTTCGTACAAGTACATAATGTACTCTATGTACGAAGCTGTTGTTATTCGACAGCTACATTTCTCTCGATCCTCTTGATTGAGTTATCCAAACAGGCGCTCATCTAACTTAACAGCTATCGATGATATCGATCTGTTTGCTGTTTGCATGGCGGTTCGAGTGCGAGCTAAGCTTTTTACAGCTGGAAGTGTCATGGCGAAATATGCTCGCGATTAATTTCCATTAAGCGTTTGCTTTTCTTACTCGTACTAAACCGTGGTTTCGAGCCTTTAAACCGCACTTAAAGCAGGAGTAATATCACAGTCAACAAAACTTCAGGTTGGAGTTGAAGTTTTAGCTCTTCAGTTTAATTAATTGATGCTCGGCGGTTTGAAAGTTCAAGATATCTTAGGCATTTTGCCACAAATGCAAATTGACAATCTTCTCAATAAGTAATGTATTTAATTAAGTGTAATATTCTACTTTTTTTTCAGCAAAAAAAATAAATAAATGAAGAGAAATATCAAAATAATATCAGCTGGTTTAATTAAACACAGTTATTCTCAGTTAATTCTAACTCTGGTGAACGACTTTCACCCGCGGCCGTCGGACGTGCTGATGCAGGGGTGGTTAACGGCTATGCAAATGGGAAATGGCGCTTTTAGCGCTTAGATTATTAAAATTTTAAATTACAAATACGTTTTATTTTATATTTTTCTGTTTATACTCCAACACCTTTTGATATATATTTATTTTTTTAACTTATATTGCATAAAATATTGATACTCACCGAAATTTAACAACCGCCAGGAAAATATAAATATTTAATCACACTGACAGGATAATATCTCTACGGGTTGAAAAACACACTTTTTAATTGTTATTCACTAATTAGGTAAACTTTTATAAATAAGTTTCTTTGTTTAAAGTGGTTTAAAGGGTTGAAGAAGAAACCGCGCGCGCGATTGTTCAGCGGTGGAGGATCGCGGATGCGAGGCGACGGCGCCGATCGTCCTGGCGCTACTGACGACGCCACCCGCCGCCGCCTCCTGCCCGGCGGATTTGTTCCTTTCGTCCTTTCTGGCCCGCGCGCGCGATTATCGCCGATGCGCATCCATTCATTCAGCGTCGGCAGCGGCGGCGGTGGCAACGTTCCTCTCTCATTTTCGCCCGGCCCAGCGCCCGTCCGACTTTTTAATTCGTTTGACGGCCTACTGAGCACAATAAAAATTACACCCCGAAGACGCGATTACCGACAGTCCGACAAAGCAGCGTTTGTTGCTCTTGCATCGTCGGTTTTTTTTCCCTCTGTGTGTGTTCATCTCGTGTACACTGTACGACGCCATGACTATTGCGCGTCATTATAATTCGCCGCTAGGCAACAGCATATTGGATTTTTTGTATTTTCAACCAGAAGCAGTGGCTGATGTTAAATTAAATTACGTTCGAGACGGGCTTACCGCGCATCTCAATTGATTTGGAAAGGATTTGAGCTTCGGCTTCGGCTAACCTCATCTTGACAGATTATCTATATTGTCCGCAGAAAACTCATTATGTGGTGGAAATTATAAAACAAAATACATAACCACAATTAATGATGACAGCTGTCAAATGTCAAAGACGCTTTCCGGAGCGTTTGATGCGATTGCTGACACATTTCGTTATTTACGCAGGGAAACATGTGGGAAATGTGGAAATTCTTGCCGGAGATGCATTATTCATGAATATGTGACATGTGGGCGATGCGGAGCATTCGATCAGATGAAAAATTTTCAGGTATAGTCTGCACGGAACTGAGATATGCCAATACATTCGAAAATCTGATCTAATTCAAAACGCGGTCGATGCCTTTGTGCTGTCGAGCAGAGTGGAAAGGTTACACGGTTTGCACTTTAAGCAAATTAACTCCACTCACAAACTTGCAGCCGTTCAAAGGGATCAAAACTTTATAGAGGGTCTCGCAGAAGTTTACAACTCAAACAAACTTCAAGTCCTACTCTGTGTTTTTTATCACGTTTTCGCATTTAATATAGGCAACCAAACACTCAATGAGCAGTAAAAAATATTTATTGAATTTCTCCACAAGCAGATATTACCACTTTTTCACTGGGTGTGCCCGACTTATTTCCACAACGTTCCATCCTTCTTACCACATCCATCCCACTGATTACATGACCAAAAACGACGTGTTTGTGATCCAACCATTCGGTTTTTGCTGTACAGATGAAAAACTGGGATCCGTTCGTGTTCGGTCCGGAGTTCGCCATTGATAATGTTCCTGGCCCTGTGTGTTTCAACTCAAAGTTTTCGTCAGCAAACTTTCGTCCATAAATTGACTTTCCTCCGGTGCCGTTGTGATTTGTAAAGTCGCCACCTTGACACATCTTCACAACAAAGAATATTTATCATATTGAAGGAAAAATCAATATTTTTAACAACTTACAAAGTCCGGAATGATTCTATGAAATATACTGCCTTGAAAACCATAGCCTTTTTCATGAGTACATAAACATTTAAAGTTTAATGCAGTTCTTGGGACAATATCAGCTCTCAACATCATGGTTATCCTTCCCACTTCCTGTTTTCCTATTTTTATGTCAAAATATACTTGTGGGTTGACAACTTTTTTATGTTTTTCTTTCTCAGCTACATTTACTCTTTCCTCAGATGATGGTTCCTGTATGAGAATTAATAAAGTTTGCTCCATAAAATACTTCTTATTGTTTTACCTGTTCGGAAGTGCCTTCAGTTACATCATTAGATAAAGTCTTGTTGATAGTTTCACCAGCATGTTCCTGTAGCCAAGTATCTTCAGACCACACAGGTCTTGTTGAACCTTCTTTAATTCTTTGTGGTTTAGCTAGATTTACTCTTATTGTTCTACCAAACAATTCCGAATCATTCTAGAGAAAATGCAAATCAGAAAGTTTCAATAATACATCATAAGTGATGTTTTAAACATACCGTGTTATCAATTGCGGCAGCAGCATCTTCAGCATTCTCAAATTCAATAAAAGCAAAACCTCGATGCTTCTCAGATTCATAATCTAATGGAATTTGTACATCAACAATATCACCGAATGGAATAAATGCAGCATTAAGGATCTTTTCATCAACTTCCTCTGCTAAACCACCAACATACACGGTTCGTTTATTGTTTGTTGTCATTTTCACTGCAAATTTTATTTGAGGCAAAATCAAACACGGACAAAATACGAATTATGTAAGGTTATGTGTATGAAGCGGTTTAAAAGTTTTGCAGCAGATTAAATTGTAAATAAGAAATATAAAAATTAGTTAAAGAATTGTTTTAATTTATATTATTACGAAAATCAAAATTAATTTTAATTTCTATGTCACGATCTAGTTTTAAAATTTGAATTTAAGTTTTTTTTTTGTTAAGTTGGTATCACTTAGTGACTGTAACGAACACTTCGTTCTTTGCAAACTTGTTAAGCGAGCGCGCGAGTTATCAGCGGTCGACTTGCGATTGTTAAAAATTCTTTAGATAAGAAGTAACTTGATAAGGTGCGAATAGTGTGTCTTATAACGCCGTGTTTGTTTACCAAACTCTACCTTACATCTTACTGACTGTAAGAAAAAACATATTTCACTTTACTTTACTTCTTCGTATATCAAGTATACAATAGTGGTTTAGAGGTCGCAAGAGCACAATCGTTGTTATTGCAACAGCTCTTTATCGTTTAGAATCGCGAAAGTGTGCACGAATTAATCACGCGATCCAAGTTTAGAGACAGAATTATTAATTTTTAGATTTAAAACGGACAAATTAAGTTTTATTAAGTGCAGTGCGTAGATGTCCAGTGCGGAGAAAATGGCGGATGGGTGAAGAGGCGAACATCGGCGCAGAACAAGGTAAAAATTTCATTGCAATAACGTTTATTTTGTCTTTGCACTTGCTGCAAGTATGTACAATTTCATTATATTGGTTAAACAGTGTGTAGCTTGAATCTACTCAAGAGAAACTCAATGTTCTGTATACAATAATCTCCATTCCTATAGTACTGAGTCAGTGTTCAGATGGTTCGAATAAAAATCGGCCATTTTCCGATCACAATTGAAGTACATACATAAAAACATCAAGACATTTCGACCAATATAATTAATATTAGCGAATACTGATCACATAAACTATACAGTCATATATATTTACTTCATTTATTGGTAATAATTATAGCCATGAATGCAACTGTGATCGAAAACTGGCGATTTTTATTATCTTAGTTTGGTTATGGGTTGTCTGTGGCACTATTTGTAGGATTTTGTTTTAAGTCTACATGTAGGAGGATTTCATTAGTGACTACATTACAATATTCTCATAAATTGAATCCGAATCGAATCTAAGAGCTAGATAATAAATAAGTCTATAATACGGAATACAGAAATAAGTACCAATCAACAAGATCAATCATCTAAGGTGGCACAAGTGCTGGGCAATGTAATAATATCATTAATTTCGATCCAACATGTTTGCCAATTAGTTTACTTTTTAGTATATAAGATAAATGCTATGGTTTAAAAACGTTGCCCCTATTTCTAGTTTAGTTTTCTCCCTGTCAAAGAAAATAAGTTGTCGAATTGAGTTTGTACTGTTCTGATTCTTGAATCCCAATCTTTGGACAGACCCATTCAATCCAATGCATTTTAGTTTTAAGAAAATAAATAAAATCACAGATAAATAAATAGAAGTATCACAATCACGAGAATAATCGATAAAGTAAATATAGCCATCCATTGCCTTCGATCTAGAATTACAACAATTAACTAGTTTAGAAAACAAAGTGTCATCATTTGACAACAACTAAATATTTAATTTGATTTACGTACCATTTGACATGTGAAGTACCTTGGCGACTTTTTTCATGGTGGCGTCTAATTTCCCCTCGGTAGTTTCCATTTCCGTACCAAATTCGTCCAACATACTTTAAATTCAAATAAAATTGTTATTTGTCTGCAATATCTAAGGTTTTACTATAAAATTACCCTGCTTGTTCATCAATCTCAACTGAAATATGCCGTGAAACTGTTTTGAGAGAACCCAAGGTGTCACTAATTGCTTCTAATTGTTCTTCCTGATTCCTTGTCATGTACTGTTGTTGGGCTAGTGTGTCATGGAGAAACCTTTGTGGGCTGTCCAGTTCATTTTCAAGCTTGGAGTATTTTGTGGTGCCATGACTGCTGGTGTTCAATACTCTTACAGGGCTTGGTTCCAACAATGGCTGCATTAATAATTTTATTAATTTATCAAATGACAATTGTTAAATGGTTAATATTACCTGACTAGCAGTCCTATCTCTATCTCTGTTTCTATTCATGTTGATTTTGTCTTTCATAGACTTCACCTCTTCCCTGGTTGAGTCAATAAAGTATTTTCTTGTAGTCAACTCCTTGTTGTCTAGCTTAAACTTGGATGGATTCTTTTCCACAATGTCTATGGTGTCTTCTAAATCCTCCAGGTCCCATTCTATACTTCTGAGGGAATTCTTCAGCTCAGTATTGGTCCATTCAACTTCATCCTTTGTGATGCATATGCTCTCCTCTTGTAGTTCAATCCATCTCAAGTATAATCCTCTAGTTTTGTTCAAAGCTTTAAAAACTTCACTAAAATTGCATTCAGTTAGCATGTGCGATAAGAAATAGTTGAAAACCAAACCAAAACTTGTGATGTTATCCAATCATGCATTATCACTATGCACATAACCACAAAACTAATAAGCAGTGATAACGACAATAACAAAGGCGTTAACTTGAACAAATAAAAGTAATAGTTGCATCAGACACTACGAATGCGGTGATTAAACTGTTCTACTGACTACCGCACTTTGGTAATTGCTTAATGCTTACTCTTTAACAACGAAAAATGGATCTTCCAACGTCATATCAAAATCAAAGTCGCACGGCGTTGCCCCCTTACATCTAGAAAGCGTAGAAGGCGAAGAACCCGGTCGCTAGCTAGTTCGCTACATGTGTCGCGCAAATCACGTTCACCACACGCACCACACACAAAAACTAACGAGTTTTCAATTTCTAAACATCGTCGACGGGTTGAAGTTTAGTGGAGAATATTGACATACCTGCACACGGTCCCTATCTAAACCCCAAAGAGTCCAAAGAGATGAATCACCCACGCACCGGGTCGATGCGTAAACTCGCAGGGGACAAAGAAATACCAAGTTATTTATAAATCGGGTGTTAATGACTTGGGAGTGTTGAATGTGATGATACATTAACTTTTCAGAGCACTTTAAAATTAAAACCGATGTGTTTTATTATTTCTTGTTGTTTATAATCTGCAAGTGAGGGAAAAACGTGGCACACTCTGTGTTATTGTAGTATGTGGGGATATTTGAAAGTGTTTTGAGAATTTTTGGGGTTGGTATTGATAAAATAAGGGTTGTATTGTGCAGTGGGTTGCCTACCTCAAAAGAGCGATTTTGTATAAATTCAAATTTAATGCGTTTGCTGACAAGTGGGTTGCCTACGTCAAATTACCAAATTTACAAAAATTATAAGAGTTTACGTTTATTTCATTCTTTTCTGGGTTATAGGAGGAATACAACTGAACAAATGATAAAATTATAATAATCACACATGGTATGCATTTATTTTTGTTTTGAAGTGCTTATAACTACAATACTTATTGGTACTTACGTAAATAATGCGTAACATGAAGTCAAGTGTCCTTTAGTCCTAGAATATTTATAAATTCATATGCATATTCCATATTTATGCAACCAATTTGCTCCTGGCATTCAACATACAACTCACTAAGTCGCTACATTTTGTAACTTAACTGCAACTCATTACTTTGGCCATATACTCTTGTATAATGAATACCAAACACTAATATGAGGTATTAAACTGAAAAGTGATATAAAGGATATACAAGCTGAAGAGGTAATATGAACTATATTTATTATAATCACGTAATAAACATATTCAATATAATTTTATGTATAATATATTTATTCTGTCAGTTCAAGTACCCAGTTCTTTCCACGTTTTTGTTCACATCGTACACATCTCGCCAGCCCGCCGTTACCAGCTTGAGTTTTAAGCATCTCTTTCGTGTTTCTGTTTATACAATTCCATCTATCTCATCGGTTTTGTGTCAATAATAAGAATATCAATATTACAAGCAACCCATCGTAATGTATGCGCTGATTGTTAAAATGCTACAGTCTCAACATCCATCATAATAATTATATTAATTATACTTAATTAATATATTTTATAAAATAGCCCACAAACGCTTTTACATCAACATTTTCATCTACATTTTCCTTCCATTGTTTGCACCTCCATTTGTTGTATACCTACATTTCGGGCGTTACAGTGAAAATGATTATTAGATTAATATCACGACACTTATAAGCTGCATATGTATAGTGTTTGTAAATCGGTAATTAATGCATTCAATTCAATTAGAATTCAATATAACAATCAAGAAGATGCATTTCAGCCATTTTGCATTCAGGATAAGCAGAATTAATCTACAATCGCACTCCTGAATAATCAATAATGCTGATAAACTATTTGTGTGTGTGTGTTGTAATTCTTGATCGATGCCAATAAGTCATTAATAAACTACGTACGACTAGAAATAAGTAAACGTGCGCAACAAACTGACAGAGTGTATAGTTGGTTGAAATTGTTCAATTGTTAAAATATGATCTTCATTTACACATTTATTTACATCATATTATGATAATACTGTGTACGAAACATTGTTATTTTTCTTTGTTTGTTATCGAAGCATCCTATACACTAAATAATGTTATTTTTTATGCCCTTATCGTTCGTTTCGTTTTCTTTTGATAACTCGCAACACGCTGTATGGAATGTGTGATGTGTGCATTACTCTTTTATTTGCTTGAAAATTCAGCTTCATTAGTCGCTGATGCTTCTTTCATTTGCTGCATTATCGTTAGTATTTAATATGTACACTTAGAAGTAGCATTACGTTACGTGTTACGAAGATATATTTATGCAAGTATTTGTAGATAGAAGGGGAGCGCATGTTTTGAGTTTCTGTGTGTGTGTATGTCTCTCATTTTCGGTGGCTGTGTGTGCTCCTGTAATATAATAATTTGTATTTTATTTTCTGGTAACGGTGAGATAGAATGTATATATATTTATATATATTTATGTACTTCATTTACGTGTCTTACGTATATGTTGCATCAAGTTACACACTGAGGGGGAATCATGTTACATTATGTATAATTATATAAATATTAATTTATATAATATGTAGTGTGTATCGTTTGTGTTTTGTTTCGAAGAGGTTTCGAAGGACGCCTCGGGCTTTGCGAAAACAATGCGCGGTTGAGGCAAGTTATGACTTGTTTGCGGGGGCGGCGCACGTCCTCGGAGGGAGTCGTGCGTGACGAAACAAATGAATATTTCGTCTCTGCTGGCAGACGCCTCATTCTCATGCAAATGACGAAAACCGTTTTCAGAACTACTTCTAGTAGTATAGGAGTAGGAGATGGGAATCAATGTGCGGATTGAATTATGCCATAACAACTTTAAGTTGTTGTGCTGGTCAGAAGCGCGTGTAAACAGAAGAAAGTTTAGCTGCATGACAGTTTGTTGATGACCAACCGAGGATGATTAATTATGAACGCGACCGTGATTGCCGCGTTGTTGCAATTGATGCAGCCGATGATAAAACATTGAATGCTTTCCTAATGAGAACTCCATTAGCGGCGAAAATCAATATTCATATCATTAAAGTGTTTTCCCCTGTGTCTTGCATTTATCGGGCATGTCGATAAAAGCAATTAAATGTGTTTGAAATATTCATCACATTGTGCATGCCAGCTCAAGTCGCGTTTGTAATCGCAAAGCCGAGGCGGAAACGGAGCGCACGTAATTCTTTAACTTTTGTTTGTTTTTTGGACCCTTGTACGGAAAGAATGGACAATATGTTGTATAATTCGTACTAAATGCTACAGTTTGTTAAAACACCAATGTATGTATGATTACTAATAGTGTTTTGTTTATTTGTTTGCAGGTATGCACCATTTCGTCAGCTTCCTCTGTCTCTTGCTCCTCCAGCGTTAATACACGTAAGCGTAATCTATTCCCGCGCCATCTTTGCGTCGCATTTCCGGCGGCTTCCGGTTTAGGTTATATGTCTGTCGTCTCGGCGGTGGTGTTTTAACAAAATGCGCGTCTCGTCAAACGCAAACATATCTTCCACAGTATGTTTCAGTTATATTCCTTCTTATATACGATAAAAGTACTTTTTGCTTCATTTATTTTTATAGAATTAATAAACATTAAACACTCACATTGCTTAAAGTTTACATTATAGTTATGGCACTATGTTACTCATATTTTTTTGTGTTACTCGTTTTTGTTCAGCTTCCGCGTCATTCGTACGAAAAAATTGCATAAGCACATTTATATCATTTCGCTCGCTCAAATATAATTAATGTTCTTAATGTTAAATTTTCTACAAGAATCGTTTTTGTTTTGTTTTTATTCAATTTTTGCTTAGTATTACAACGAAGCAACGCAAACAATTAATCATTCGCTCACCGAGCGAAAAAACAAATGAAACAAAAGCAATTGATGGCTTATATTAAACCGAATAAAAAATTATTTACAAAGCTACATTTAGAAGTTCGCCTCTCTCGTCGTTTACACGTTTAGATATTTTTTTGGTTTTGTTTATAATCGCTTAGGAGTGTGTTGCTTTTTCATATAACACATATTATTTTGAAAACTTGTGCACACTTAATGAGAGAAGAAAGCAAGTTAATTAATATTCTAAATCTTCATATCTTAAGTTGTCAAAATTGACACTTAGTTGATTTATATATATAGTTAGAGTTCTTATTCATACTACATACATTTAACATGTTGACGTTTATAGTTTGTTTTTGGTGTAATCTCCAATTAGTGATTTGAGAACATCGAAACAAAAGAGGCTACGAGGAAGTTTGCAAAATTTTCAAAATTGCCACAATCCATATGTGTGTTTTGTGTGGGTGTGTAATCACGATTTACAAAAAATATCTTTTTTTGTATGTTGGTTAGGATGTAATTGTTAGCGAAGACAATCTTCCAACGCTGTTTAGAGTGTTTAAGTGAAGAGTAGTGCGGCGAGGACAAGCAGAGCCATGATGTCCAAGCGGCCATATTGAATTGAGCCTGGACTAGGTGACGATGACTGTATTCGCACATGCAGGTCTCTTATTTCGTTCTCTGAAACATAAAAATTAACATTTTACTATTTATTTACTATAAATAACAAATTTTCCAACAAGAGTTATAATTTAGTAATAATTTTGTTGAATCATCAATGAAATTGCAATATATAATAAATAAAACAAATCTCGATTCGTGGAAAATTTGCAGGACGAAAGCAAAATTATGTAAAGCCGTGTAAAATTCATCCGGATTTTCACTAGAGTGGCTTGTACGCTACGCGCGATAGTGGCGCCTCCTTTACGTTTTATAGCGAAAAACGAATAAATAAATCACAAAAATACAACGCCAAATAATGTGTCCAGCGTGCGCATATATATCGATATGGTGGCAAGTTGAAACTTTTCTGCGTGAGCGTGCACAGTAAAATATTCTGGCATGCGATATAAATGTGTAATAATTTCGAAGCTGTTGCAAATCTCATTTCGGATACGGGCTTAGTATAAACTACTATTACTCGCGCGCGTGGATCGTGCAACATTTAAAGGGAATCTTAAATAACTCGAACAACTTACCGTTGTAAACATGTCGTGGGGTTTGCGGTCGCTCGGGGTAGCTCATATCTACGAAACGAAATGAAAAATGACGAATTGAGATTGCGTGTTGTACGAATAAAAATATACCCAGATTACAGGTGGAAAGATGAGATGAGAAAAGATTTGTCAATAATTTTCACAACTTAGTTGTCACAAACTAAAATTTAGTTTGTGCTTTGAAAAGTTTTCCCCGGGATCAAGATCATTTTGGAAACTACACGACAACAAGAACTAACTTGTTCGCTATGATATTAGTTTTGATAAATCAAAACTTTGCATTGAAATGATTTTTATTAGGTTTAGTTGCGCGGATATCTGTTAAGTTTGGCGATGTACCGGTTTGAATATTAATTTGCGGAAACTACAGCTAGCGACATTAGTGGAATTGTTAATCCAATGGTCTTTTGTTTCCGGGTGACTCGTGCGATAATACTTTCGCGTAATTTAATAAAGTTTGAACGTTTTAATAAGTTTGGCAACTGCCAGGTGACCGAGGTGCATCACGTACCGCGACTGTCCCGTACGATAGCCGCTCTCTATCTCGGGAATTGTAATGTTTTAATGCTGGTGGCAGTTACATTACCGTAGATGCGTGTGTGGGTGTTGGGAAATTTCATTTTCGTTTATTTCGCGTTGAAACTTTTGCTTTTGTGTCGCTGGATGCCAATGAAGGGAGATTAACGGAGTGAAAATGAATTTTTTTTTTTCAAATTCTTTTATACATGCGCTCGCGCAAACAAAAAATTACCAAGTGAAAAATGAAATGATGCTCTGGTGTTGTCGCGTAGAGAGAGGGTAGAATAGGATAACTCACCATTGTCCGTCGTTTGGAAGGAGAACGGCTCCGACGGTGAGCTCCAGCCGAATTTGTTGCGCGACTCGACTTTGGCCTCGTAGTTCTGTCCGGGATCTAAGCCTTTGATCAGGTAACTCATCGACTGTACGCCCGAGTTGTAGACGGTGGTCGCTTTACCGTTGGCCGGCAGGATTACATCCCTCCACTCATGTCGACGGTCGAAGAATGTACGTCCGAAACCTCCTCCCATATAACTGGTATGAGTTCGATTCTCCTGATTAACAAAACGAAAAAAATCAGTAGATATTGAAGCGCGTAGTTTTTGAGTGCGTTTACCCTCATTGGAAAGATCTTCTTCTGGCTTTGATGATGCAGGGGTTGTGGGTGTCCATCCTCGGAAGTGAGCGGTGTGTCCGGTAGGCGACGGAACAGCAATTTGTATTCGACAATGGGGCTAAGCGACTCTACGGCCCAGCTTATGTTGTAGCTGTCTCGCCATTGACCCCTAGACGCCGAGCTGAACTTTGCAGTGTTTGGCAATCCTGTGAATACAAAAGCAGTTGAAATCATCTTAGTCAGCAGGATTTTTTTTGTAAATCTTTATTTGGGCCAATAAACTATGGCAAACATTTCAATTATTTTAATGATGGTGCGCGTCCGTGCGTAGCCTTCGATAGTTGCTCGAGTGTTGTTCAAGTTGCCTACAACCCTAGGTGTAGTGCGGATAGCGCATAAAACGGAGTGTCAGTATTCGAATCCCTCTTGAAAACGCACCCAGCCATCGCGTCGGGCTTATGCAAATCGACTTTCGAGGACTGTTTTCGGCAATTTTATGCGTTTGCGAGCGGCGCGGTAATTCAATTCTGAATTTCGTTTTCGAAGGACGAGGATTCGATAGTGCGGGGACAGTTTCCGATTTGTTTAGTGTTTTCATGCAATCGGCTCGACATTTTCTCATTGGGGGATTTTATCCTTGTAAATAGAAAATAATTACCTCTGCTTTAACCCGCTTCTATTTTGCTTAAATAAATGAAAAAGTTTATTTTTGGATCGCAAATTGCTGCGAACTGAAATGGTTTCAACAAATCCCGATTCCGGTGACAACCGAATGCACTCTCAAAAAAACATTTCCTTGACGTGCGGTCAGTTCACGTCTCCGGCATCAACTCGAATTAAATTTAGTTTCGAAATTTGAATCGACAGTGACAGGCTGTGATGCAACCACATACACACATATCCTACTGATGATGAGTGAGATTACTATTAATAGGAATCGCGCCGTCGATGTGATCGACGATCTGATATGTTACCTGACAGCTGAACGCTCTTGCGCGTTTTCCCCAATTGGTTGTCGGCGACGCACGTGTAGTTGCCGAAGTCGGAGTGCTGGACCTTGCGAATGACGAGGGTGTGCCGCGAGCCGCGCGACTCCATTATCCTGCGCTCGGTCGTGTCCAGCTGCATCGTGTCGCGGTACCATAAAACCTGAAATTGGGCCGGAACTTGAGTATACATCTACACACACATATCACTTCATTGGAATATGTATTGTATACAAATGTCGTCTCGAGCGCTACTCGCGCTGCAACCCAACATACACGGACGCTTGATCCACAAGAGGTAGATTTACATAGCATAATGAAGTAGGGATTTTTTATTCCTCGGAGAGAGAAAAGCGCGCTGCAGAAGGTAGAATATATCCACTTCTTGGCGAATTTCGTTGTCCGAAATGAATGCGTCGATGTAAAAATGCCCGTATGAATAGATTGGTTTGCTACATTGTACTCGTACTTGCATTGTGCTTGACTGCTTGAGCCTGAAGCCCAACTACTCAATACTTTCATATTTATGGAAGTAGTAAGTTTGCGATGGTGGAGGAGAGGCCCGAAATTTCCGAGCGGTTCGCCTCGCAGCAAGCGGCACATCCGGCTGCGGTTTAAAACTAATTTTCCGGGAAACCGAAGTAGGAAAGTTCGAGAATCCATTAGATATATATTTCGGAAAACGGCGGCGCGCTGCTGCATCCTCGTCGTCTAAATCAGTATCAAAGCGTGCGCGGCGCGGCACTTTACCTACATCACAAACTTTTAACTAACTTAAACCGATAGATTTCGTCTCATCTTTTCGCCAACGCACGCATACGCAATAGGCGGGAATTGGTGTTTATCGTCCGAAGCTCTCTAAAGGGACGACAATAATCATTCTCGGCTTTTTGTGTACAATTTTTTGATATTTCATGTTATTTCCGCCTGCAAAGCATGAATTTTCCATGAGAAAGGTTCAAAAACTATTTAATACAAATATTTGTGATAGTCAAAGGCATTTTTGTGATATCGAAAATCATAACTATCTATCCCGGATATGCGCAAAACATGGGATGGATTTCGAGACGTCGATATGCCATTGAGACGACGATGAAAACGATAAAGGCGCCATTTTATTATTACGTCCTCGGGTCGATAAATATACGCTGTAAGAACGCAAAAAATCAAATTGAATTATATCTAGCGTTTCGACTTACACCATGCGTTCGTTAGCCGCTTGAACCATTTGTATGCAATGCCCTGATACGCGTATAGATCCGAGCAAGCGAATTGACGAAATCGCATAGTTCTCTAATGATCATTAGGACGAATTCCGGTGGCAGGATTTCCTGCCCCCGCCAATAATGAAAGGGTAGTCTCGCAGCGCAACGCAACCAGGCGCACGCACCCGACGAAAAAAGCATTGTTAAATTTTTACCCATGCGTGGATCTTCCGGCATTCCGTTCGAAATATGTTTCTTTAAAGATTATCATCAATAACTCGCGCGGCGGCGACGACTTGAAGCGGAGAGAAAAGTGGTCGGAAGCCGCCAATCACGATTATGGATTTGCGTCGTAACCGGCGCACAACTAGTAAATAACGTATGTGAATCATCCTGAATAATTAACGATGTAGAAATGACATATGTGTGTGAGTTGTGATGGGTTCATAATTCGTAGATATTTTATTTTAAACAAATCTAAATTGAAAAACGCTTTTAACTTTTTTACATTTCAATATTTCGCAATATTAAATCAACTTTTGTGGTTCTTGAGGTTTTAAGGTTATTTTGAAATTCTTTGAGCGTTTACACAAAAATATAGCTTTAATAAACCCAGGGATTGTGTGTCGTTTCTCTACATTTTGTCATCTTACATGTTGACAAGCACGAAATATATAAGTGCATTTTGTCTTCTTTTAAAAAAATCTATTACACATTTTTTTCGTTGCGAGACATAAGCAAGGAAATATGAAGAAGCCGTCACGAGATAATGCCGTACTTTAAAGAGGGTCGAAATTTCGCGAAATGTTGTATATACGATGCGGGTGCTCAAGCTTCCGTATTATTTTTGTACTTGCAACATTTGTCGGAGGCAGGACTCGACTACGGCGCGCGACGTCGGCGCACATTCCGCATTGTATAAATTACGTCTTAAAAGCATTGTACGCGAGTGCGGATGTGTGCATGACGACCGCACCATGAATATGAGCAGCGAGAGAATATTGCTGCGAAAAAAAGAGTGGTCGAATAAACAACCGTTGATTTTTGCGCATGTTGCGTGTGTTATAAGTTGCTGACTTTTGTGCTACTTTCTTTTTTGGGTTGCCGTTGTTGTTGTTGGTGGTGCTTTGAGTGTTAGGCAACTTTTCATACGCCCACGTGCATTTGATGTCTCTTCCAGATTTCTTCTGTCGATTAATGCCGTTGCGTAAGGTGCACGCGCTTTTTCTGCTCTGGAGCAGCTTAGGCTAGGAAAACGTGCTTGTCAATAACGAACACGCTTTATAAATAACTCGCAGACGCCTGCCGCCTGTTTAATAGATAAGAACTTCTTCGACAGGTGCGATCGGCTGCCAGCTTCTGAAGCACGCAAGGGACGCAAGGTATTAACTAAATAACGAAACTTGTGAGAGTTGCACGAGAAACTAATTGATGTCAATTTGGTTGCCTGCCAAACTTTCTTCCTTCTGGCTACCGCCGCTTGGCTTTAGATTTCTTAACGTTTACACACAATAATAAGCGGCAAACAAAACGACATGCAAATTTGCCGCGCACGAAAACAATTCGACAACGAGTTTTGCGGTAATATTTTATTCGTTTATCTTCTTTATGTTTCTATAATTGCGTGCAGGCAGGCGAAAAAATAAAAACAAATAAAATTTGAATAAGAATTGTTTCCGAAGCATATTTTACGTATACCTAAGTACAATTTGAACATTTTGAAATATTCATTTGATATTCCCGCATGAGCGTTTCTTTCATGCGTCGCATCGCGCCAACAGCAAAAAAATCATATTTTCTTTCAGTCTTCACTTTCGGTGTCGTTTCATTTCGTTCGCATTGCGTCATTCTATTGTTTCATATTTCACTTTATGAAAATGTGTTTTAATAATCAAAACTGAAACACCTACTTCCTCCTTGTTGTGCGTTTCTTTTCGGGGCGCGCTGGCGGAATAAATTAAATACCACCCCCTCGTGTACCCCATTCCGCTGCCCCCGCCACCCATTGTGTGCGCGAGTAATATGCTCACACGTATATGACGAGCGGGGCGAAAATTGCGACGACGCGAAAAAATGAAGCGAAAATTAAAGCCTCGACACTGAAAATCTGCTCTCAAGCAAGCAAAAAAAAAACGCAAAATGTTATAATAAAATGTCGGAGCACGAACCGACGAACCCCGAAATGAAATGAACCAGGGATTTTTTTTCTCGTCGGCAACAAACACGAATGTGCGCTAAATGTGCGGAAAATACAATATTTAATCAAAAATAATTTGAATAAAAAAGTAGTTATCCGTAACACTTTGTAGGTTAAAGTGCTGAGCGTCGTCGAACGTGAAATAGACAGATAGATGTAACGTTGCGCGTTAACGTTTCGTCGAAATCAATTTTCTCTCCGCTCCTCCCGGCGAGGCCCTAACTTACTTCATGCGATTTGTTTCGTTCATCTGTTCCTGCTCGAGTTCTAGGCGCGAGCACTCGTACCATTCTTTCATTCCGGAAGCGTGGAATCGAATTCGCACGTTGTGCGCTCGTATGATATGTTTTTCTTTGCGCGAAGGCGGCAAATATGAGCAACATCGACAGGCGATAATAAATTTAACTCGCTCGCTGGCTCTCTGGCGGCGCAATGTGTTCTGTTCTTTTCGGGGGAGCGTTTTGGGTCAATTTTTAACGTGTCACGGATTCGCCCAGAGTCAGAATGGTGCGGGCTAACCGCGAATCGATTCGACGCGATTCTCTGCGTCGAAAATATTTTTCGGCTGGCAATTTCAATAAATCTAAGCGAAATCTATTATAAATATAAATCTATGGTCGTGGAGCGTGTGCGGCAGTAGACGCAAATCACATTTCCGTTTTGCAATTTTTGCGATTTCACCTGTGTGTGCGCTACACCTGCACCACGGATCGAATAGTTTTACGCCGTAAACGACATCCGATTCGTTTATGTTTTGTCGGTGGCTCGTGATTTTAAAACCGGCTAAACCACCATCGCGCGCATAAAGTGAATATAATCGACATTCGAACCTCACTGCAATAAAATTGAAACACCGTTGTGGAGCGGAAATATGCGCCGAAGTAAAATAAAAGCAATATCCACGCCTGTGCATCCTCAGCGCGCAAATATTTTCCGAACGCGCAGGCAACGCAATAAACAAAAGAATTACACGAGGCAACCCTTTCAGCGAAATTAATGCCAATTCGCGGGGAGATAATAGTTTAAAAGGAAAGTTGTCGGTCGGCGACGAATGGTCTTATTTGCACGCCCGCCGGCGACGAACGACGCAAAACGCGGGAAATTATGAGGAAAAGATGTAAACCCGAAAGGAAATGAGACACGAAAGAAGTGGAAGCTCGCATCGTGTTTGCTTTCGTACGGCTCGAATAATTCTCTCATTATAATAAAACGAGGGTCGGGGATACTTGACGAATTCGTTTTTATCGCGCAGCGCGGAAACGTAATATTGCAAAAGTTTATACGCAATTAAATTATGCGAATTCGGAATTCATTCCGCAGCATTGTAATTATATTGTTTCGACGTTAGAGTGCTTTGCAACAATATAATATGCGTGCCGGAATGATTTCTTAGTGGCGAGAGATGTAAGTACGATGTAAGAGCTAAGTGCTGCTAGCTAAGCTTCGGAAGCCGCAGGCGGGTGGCATCTTTGGAAATGTTTGCCGAGTTGGCGAACGAGTTAAACATTGTACAAATTACTTTTTTATTAGCAAACCAGAGCAATACAACAAATAGCCGGCGAGGACGTGAAATTGCCGGATCTAATGAGCGCCGCCGACGACGTAAATTTGTCCTCGAGGGGGCGGCTCATGAATAGGTAAACGATTCGGACGGAATGAGGTCAGGGCGTCTTAAGCTGCGACTCGCCCACGGACAATTTATGACTTTTTGTTGTTTGCTGTGACATCATTATATCCGTTAATTAAAAATATGATTAAGATATATTTCATTCTGTTACTTGAAAAACAACACGCTCTTACCTCACAAATAAAAATATTGGACGTATACCAAAATAAAATGATAATTTATATGGAAATTGCACATTTGCCGGTGACACTGCCGCCGCCCCGGAGGTGGTTGGCGTGACGTGGAAGGCATGCATGCGCGCACACGCCGCGCGCTAAGCCGACACGCGGATATTCGTAATATTAACATCATTTCTGGTTGGAGAATTACAATTTATGCACGCGTTTTTTGCGTCCTCCACTGTACGCCCTTGTTTTTGCGTGTGCGTGTTTTTTTTCTCTCTGTGTGTACACAAACGCGGTTCGCGCGGATCTATTTCGTACACATCGTGCACGACCGCGCGAATTACGAGGACGTGTTCACACATGTCATTATTGAAACGCGATTTAATGACGAGTGACGCGCCTCCGACGTGCGATACACGTTATTGACGATATTGCCGCCGATGTAAAAGCTTAAATTAACATCGTGCGCAAAAAACTGAATATTTTGTATCTGCATGTCTCGCATTTATCACAGTTTTACATTTTTGACAATAGATGGCGTTATGAGTGTTGTTTTGTTGTTTTTTGACTTCATTATGATTGTAATCCGATGCGATTTATAACAAAGCTGGTTTGGTGGTTGTAATCTGCTTACGCAGAGGGTGAAAATCTTGCGTATGCAAAGGAAAGCAATAAAACAAAAGGGCAAGAACAGTCAGCGGACCCCCACGCCCGAATTGAGATATTAGAACAGGCATAGAGTGTGTGTAATTGCGGTGAAAATCTGTTCGCTGCGTATATATCAATATCATAAATTCTCCTTTTGCCCGCGCTGCCACTTCTTTTTCTGCATAAGTTGCAAAGCCGTACTTGCGCACCCCTAGGTAAGCACGCGCGTCCGCAGAAGTATAAAGCAAAAATGCTCGGAGGGTAGGCAAAAAATAAGATCCGGTCGCGGGGGTGCGCGCATTTAAGCATATGCAGTTAAAGGAAACGCCGAGTCGGCGATCGCCGTCCAAAAGAGGCTTCAAATAGGCTTCGCCGTCTAGTTATTACGGCCGTGGGAGGGTGGAAATCGGTAACGGAAAAAAGAACGTCCTTGGTCTGCAGCTATATTCTATAATAATATCGGCGGACGGCCGCTCGGAATATGACTCAATTTATAAAGAGGAAAATGCGCGGTGCGACGGCGGCGCTGCATCATAGACGGAAAATATCTGAGAAATCGGAAGACCTCGAAGAAGAAAGCGGGAAGTAATTCAACTGCGATTGGATAAGAGTTCATGTATACAACGTCCTCAAATGGGATGTATTTACGAGCGTATAAATCTCCTTAAAGGCCAACCGGATTTTTTCTTCTTCCTAACTTTCAACTAAAAAATTTAGACATGCTAAAGCTGTTCACTGCTGCGTGAAAGAAAAAATGGAGATGATTATGTTAAAAATATCTTATATTTTACATTTAAATTGCATCCATTGTCAACAAAAGATTGTTTAAAGCAGTCGGAGATCTCTGGTGGACCCAACGGGCGGTAGGGAAATAAAAAACGCGCGCGTCTTCGCCTCAACTAAACTATTTCCCTATGAGACACGCCACTTTATATGAAAATTTAAGCGTATTTTTAGTTGGCCCCGCCACGACTCGGCATTCCGCGCCCGGCGCTACTTATGCAAACTTTTCGTGGGCGCAACGGTGCGCCGAAAATATGCGCAATTTAAATGATACTTTTCGACCGACATGGGAGACATTACGTAATAACATTCTTCTTTCCCCAAAGCATAAACTCGCTTTCTTCTCGTTGTGTTGGTACTCATCATTGCAGTTTCTTTTCATCGCGAAGTTTAGCGAGTAAAACGAAGGTAACAATGAAGCAAAGTGAGATGAGTTGTGATGTTGAGGGGGGAAATTAAGCGGCAAATCGTCGTAAAAAATTATTATTTGCCGGATGTAAATATTTAAGCAAGCCTAAGTGGAAATCCAGATGTTGTGCCGTGTGGGGGATACGTTTTTGATAAGACGCATATAATTATATCGCCCTGGGAGGCAAGACGATTCTTCGCGAAGGAGAAACACGTTTCCCACTTGCAAGCAAGACGTCTCGCCGTCCGGCGGGGTAAGGTAATAGCGCTGGGTGTTTAAATATTTAAAGTGGAATCTCGTTGTGGGAATCGCTCTATCTGCGGCTCACGTGCGTGCGTGTGCACACACCCCGGTGAAATTCGTCGCGCGGGCGAAATGTTGTCGGAAAACTCCCTAACTCCCCATTCGAGAGCGCCTCTAAAACATCTATTCACAATCAAAGTTGCCCGAATGTGCGTTCGATTCACGCCAAATGGCGTCACAGAAAGGGCATGGAAAGACACAAAAGTCCATCACGCCCGACCACCCCCAAGCGTACGCATATATATACACACATAGACGCACATTACCGAAGGTGCTTTCTCCGGGTTCCTCGAACACAATGCGCCTTCGAAGTGCTCAATCTCAATACTCGACTCGCAGCGCCTTTAAATAAGTGAAAAGATATTGAAATACATTCGGGTGTTGGTTAGATGGATATGTTCGTACATATTCAATAAGGCGCTGTCACTCTCAATGGAATTACGCTCGCACGTAATTCCGCCCGGATGGGGCCATTTTCAGGTGCTGGCGAAATCACATGAACTCGCACTCTCTGTTTGAATATTCAGACGTGTTAGACACCCACTTGCACCTTATCGCTCTTATTTTATCAGACGCCTTCACTGTTTTATCTGAACTCGAAGACAGGCTTATTAAAGATTGACACTTTTCTTCATATTGTGGACGTTGTGTATATCAGGACGAAAACAATGCGCAATGCCAAAAAGAAAAACGCCTCACGCACGCGTTGCGTTCGTTCGTTTCGTATCGCGCGCGTCGTTTAGATTAAACGGTGCGTACGGCCATAAATCGTGCCGAAAACGGCCAGCCAACACACACCCCCGCCAAACGGTTGGCACTAACTATATAGTCCAGGATTCTAGCCGTTGGGCTAAGTGAAAATGTTCGGCGTTTAGTGCACGGCAATTCGTGTTAACTGAAATTAAATTCCGTAAGTACGTATACGATTGGATATTCGGTTTATTAATTAGATAACGCGCGCGGCGCCGCCGGTGGAATTTATGTGCGCGCTACTCGTACCTCTGAATGTAATGGCAACGACGCAAATAAACTAAAAATAGCGCTCACCTCTGGTTGACTTTCGCCGTGCACAATGCACACCAGTTGGGCTTCGTATCCTTCTGCGGAGTGTACAACCGGGCGTTCAACGGAAATTTCTGGTGGATCTGCAACAAATAATTTACATTTATTTAGATAACGTTTTTTAGTATAAAGTTTAAATTTAAAAATATTGTTTTTAAACATTTCAAATGGTGGATGAAAAATAATGACTGTAATTTTGGTATAACACAGACTCAGATATGTGAAAATAGTTGGTTCGAAGTTGAAGACTTTTATATGCTGACTGCTTTTGCATTGGTGCATAAAACTGCTTAGATATCGCCAAATTACCGACTCGTTGAATACGTAACACGTTTTTTTCTATCGGCGTCGCCTCCCCTCTCATTTTTGCACACTTTTAGCCCTTATTTTTAACTCGGTGCGATTTACTAGCTATCTTAGAGCAGTCGCTCGAAAACCGGGAAGAAATTACGAGCTAGATAGATATGCAAAGCTCTGCCGGCAAAAGCCACCGCGCGCAAATGCAGCACACGGCTCTGTCAGCGGCAGGAATCGCCGATTGCCGTACCGCGCTGAACTCCCTGAGGAAAGACGAACTTCCCGACAGCAGTAACCAGCCAGCGAGCGGAAAAGAAGGGGGCGAGCGAAATGGTGAAATTGTAAAATGCTCCAAGGCACTTTCGCAATTTGGCATCGGCGCTCTTTAGTGTGCCTACATTACCAGACATAATGATTGAAAACTACATTGTGCATTTGTTGTAAAATCCAGCCGGGGAAATGATCGATTTTCGGGGTCAATTGTCACATCGTCGCTGGGCTTAAGAGCAGAAGAGAAAAAAAAAAACTAACACGCGGATATTTTCAGTGCGGGCATATTTTATTCGTGGTTGCCTTTTGCATGACCCAAAAGTTGATGTTTGAAGAGCAAACTAGTGCCCCGCACGGTCTCGTATGTAAATATTCATCTTGAATTCAGGTGCACCACACATGCACGTAGTTGCTGGTAGGGGAGGTCATCATCTTGGAAAATCTTGCTCCTGCTTTCGCCCGCTTGCTGATGTATACACAAGATATGCAATTTGACGACGATCTTTCGCCGTGCAGACGGCAACGAGGAGAAAAAGAAGTTTACCCGGAGGTTTTCATATTTTACTACACGCTGCTCGCCGTCAACGCGCGGAAGCTTGGCAGCAAGACGCTAAGACACTGTAACTCGGCCCCGGTGTTGGAAAAACGTACGCTGCACGTTACGACCACCGAGCGAGCTGCCGCGCAAAAAAAAGCCGGAAGACGGAAAACGACGAATGTCGTTCCGGGGCTTAGTGTGTACTTACTTATGCCAACAGTAGTCGGATAGTTTCGGCTTTTCTCTAACTCCACCGTCTACAACTTCGACGTTTGGTTTCAGTCGCTTCGTCAACAAGTACATTCATTTTTCTCTTGTTGGCGTTGTCAGTTTAATTACAATTCAAATTTAACTAGTAATAAACCGATGAAATATTTGCGCTGATTGACAAATAATAAACGTGTAAAACCGCGAATGGCATATCAGCCGAGTGCTAATTACCACTATGGCGATGTAATTTCCAAACCGCCGCAGGCAGCACTCGCCCCAATTGTCACAGGTAATTAAATGCGTATTTATAATTTCAACACGTCAAGCCTCACGCCCAAAAGTGAGAGCGGCGCGCAACGCGTTGATGATAATTAAAACCGACGCTTCCAATGAACGATGAAAGCTCCACGTGCTCTCGGCGGTGGCGGCGGCCTTTAGCCGTGACGAAAATCGTAAAATTCGCGCGCAATTAACTAAAATAAGTGTCGACAGCCTAAAACCACCACTCGCGCGTGAGCATGAGTAAAACGCGAGCGTCAAACCGCCGGGCCTGGCTTCCGCGTGTTCGCGAGCGGATGTTTCGTGAAGAGAGAAAGCTCCCACAACGGCAAAAAGCAGCGAAATTCGCGGCCTGGATAAATCGCCGGATTATCACCCTCGAAACGCTCGTTGCGCACTCGATGGCCCACGTGGCGCGCTCACGTCTGTTTCATCCATTTGCGAATTCGTCACGACGCTCTAAAAGGTTTCGTCAATTTTATCGAGTCAGAAAGTTCGACAGCTTAGATGGCGGTCTTCCGGTGCTGCGATCTTCTTCCAGTCACGCTGTTCGTAGTCCTCCGGATGGACACGTAGATTTGCGGTGGCACATAATCCGCTTTTGGTGATGGTGGTGGCTTCACTCTCTTTTCCACGGGCTTCCGAAATAATTGGCAGTCGTTGATTTAGATTAAACGAGAAACTAATGAGTCCGACGTAACTTCCTTTTCTTATTTTACGCCGGCGTGCGTTCGCGGTTGGCGCGCGGCTTTCTTTTAAAGAAATTTCCTTTCTTCGCTTCTCCCTTTTTAAGAAGGCAATTGTTAGCTCGTTCCGAGTTATAAATTATGTATACAAATACCCGAAACGAGCAGAGAGGCGCACAAAAAAATTACTTTTGTTTCCGGCCGGAGCATCTATGGGAACATTTTTTTAAATTTCAATGAAATGGAAAATTTTTCGCGTCCAAAAATCAGCGATATTATAATATTCAAATCATCACTTGTTTGTGCAATTTAAGCAGGCGTCAAATTTAATTTACAAACATAAAAATCAATTGCCAAATTATGTACTAGCAAAGGTTGGTAAAGAAAAAATAAAGATTTTGAATCTTTTAGAATATAACGATAGTAATTTATAAATTTTATATCGCCACAAACGACGCCGTAAATTCTATTTGCTGTGGGCAATTATTTTATAAGTTTAACGACGTAAATCTGCTGACGAACATTTTTAATTTAATATAATAGTCGCGCGGAACATTAATGTGCCCTGCGCCACGTATTTCATGCGACGGCTGTAAAAGTGTTTATTTCCTATATACACCGGCGCCTTCACCAATGAAAGGAAATATTAACTTGTACGTCGTTTTTGTCGCCCTGGTGGTGGCTGCAAAAAAGAGGCGATAATGTTTGCTCGCAGGCGGCGTTTGATGTTTCAATATATGAAAAATCGCTCGTAAACTTTGCGCTCGAACGCGACGTAATCAATTTACTTTTTAATTTCGTAATTCTTGCACATCAAAGTGTCCCCCGAACGAGGGTAATAAGAGTCAGCTATTTACATTTCTTAATTATAGTTGGAGAAAAAGTGAACGCAAAGTTTGCGCTTCATTTTATATTACAATGACACTGCGGGCGAACAAAAAAGTTGTTTTAATTTCCCAACTCGGTGACGCGTCGTGGGAAAAATAGATATATTCAAATTTGGCAAATGTGGCAAATTTTGCGCCGGCGGAAAGTTATTTTTACGCGCCTGGGCATGCGGGTGCATACTCATTAAAACTTTTCCAAAAATGTGCGCCAAGCATCTGAGCAAACACGCGCGGAGGGTTTTTATGTCCGTTTATGTCCAAAGCGCTCCGGCGTCTTGATGAAAACGACCCGGTAACTTCAATTACCCGCGAGGGTGTTACGGGCGCGTGTTCGGTAAGTCATGCTCAGGTGTGTGCACTAAGCAAGAAAGCTTTAGCATCGCCAGATACGTCCAGACATCCTCGAGCTCAAGCTCAAGCTGGATGAAGTGCTCGCGTATAGACCCGAGGGTGGTGGCGCTTGCAAGGGATGACGGGCACGTCGAGGGCATCCAGGCAGGTGAGTCACGGGGGCTGCGCGGGTGCGCGTGGCTCACGTGCAAATCCGATAAACGTCCTGCATTTAGGGATGCCAATAATGATGCTGTCAATAGCAGATACTCGTCCCGCCGCATCCTCAACGCTATATGGATGCCTGCTGCCGCCGCCGGGGTGGTGTGCAAAAGGGGGGCGATTACTCGAAGTTGCTGCGCGTCAGTTAAATTCATCCGTCTGGGTTCGGGGCGGCGGCTGAGCGAGGCGAGACGAGGCTTCATGTCGATCGCGACCCCCCGTAGCGCGCGCGTTGAGGGCGAGAAAGGAGAGAAGGCCACTTCATTCGAAACCGTCAAATCCATCGGCCTATTTAAATCGAATTAGCGTTGTTGTTGTATTCCGTATACCTACAGCCCACACAGCGCAGTGAATAGATCTCGGCGAGAACCCTCCAAAGGAAGACAAGAAGTTGTCAACTCGAGGGGGTGCATAATGCACATACGGACTCTAAACGAATTTTAATGGAATTTTAACAGCAAACGCAAACATTATTTTTACATTAATAATTTCCACGGGGCTATTAGCCCTCAGCCGAAATTTGATGATTTCTTACTTGTGCTTCCTGTTTTGGTCAGCATGGTCAGGATCTCTTGGTTGGTAAAGTGCGAGGAAGGCAGGTCAATGTTTGTCAGCGAATTTTATTGAATTAAGTGAGGTTTTCCGCTCGCCGCTCGTGGGTTTTTGGGAAATTACTCAGCCTCACATTTGCCGCTCACGTACACCCACACTCACTCGTCTCCGGCGAGTCGAGGCCGGAGAGGGTTGTTAAAAGTGGTCAGGTATGCGCGTCCGCATAAAACGGACGCGCCCTCGGCAACGTCCGGCCGTGCGGTGCGCACTATAAATTGGGGACACTTTTATCTGTTTTTGTGAATATTTCAGTGACTTCGGCCTGATTGGGATTAAAGTAAATTAAATTATTCCACTGAGAGCGAGGGAGTGTGGTTATGTATGTGGGTGTGTATGTGCATGCACACCGCTCGTATATCAATGTATCTAAACCGTACGAGAGTATCTATCTAATAAAAGCGAGCGGTTCGGGTTTTATTACATTTTACGATTTATCTTTGATAAATATAGCTACGAGAAAAGCGTCATAAAACGGTGTTATCAATGTTTAATGTTTAATATACACTTTGTCAATTAAAAACCCTATAATGATCTACAACGTAATTCACTTTGATTGCGAACTCGTTTAATTCCCTCTCGGAAATAAGCAAAATAATGAAATAACGAAAAACTGCAAATTTTATATCGGCGGCGCATTTTTGAATATTCGAATTTTAATTGAACGACGTCAATTACCGTTGGAGTGCAATGAGCGTTTTGTTCGTTACTTGGGGTGGTCGTTACCAGCGCCCCTCTAGTTGCATACGCAAATT